ATAGAAAAGAAACAGAATAATAAAAAGCCACAGATGGAGAGAATATGGATACTGTACGGTATTATATTGTCTTTATATTGTTTGACTGCTGAGGAAACAACTGTTAAAGGAAATGTTGCTGGATTAATTAAATTTATATATTTTAAAAATGCTTTAACTCCAAAATTTAAGTTCAAGGACAAGTTACTGGGGAAAAGGATTTCTATTTTTGTTTCAACAGGAAATAAAAAGCTGTGGATTCCTTCCAGACTAATGTGGTTTGAGCAAGCCAGACCGCCTGAAACAGAGTACCAGGTGATCCTAAATTCAAAACAGCTGAACAAAGCAGCCTTGCAGTTAACTCAGATGTTTCCTGTTTTTGAGGAGGATGGAAATCGTACTCATCAACCTTTGGAACATAAGCAGGTTAAGGAATTGCCTGAATCTGTCCGTGCTTATGGCATTAATGCTAACTACACCTCCTCACAAGTAGAGAGACTGTCTGCTATGGCTATGACCCCTGCAGACTGGATGTTTGTCACAAAAGCATGCCTCACTATGGGGCAATATTTGGAATGGAAAGCCATATGGCATGATCTTAGCCAATCACAGGCCTCCATTGATTCACAATTAAAAGGAGGATTGATTTGGTGCAGGACCAAATTGACATACTCTGGTAGCTAGCCCAACTGGGCTGTCAATGGAAATATTCCAGTTTATGTGTCACCGGTGTACAATATGAAAATTATACAAGAGCTGCAAATCTTTCTAAACAACTTTTTCAGTATCTTTTAGGTGAATGGACAGGAGAATTTGATAGCCTGATGGACCAACTCCGAATGGCCATCGTCCATGTGAATTCCACCCATGTGGACGCCTCTCTATCAGAAGGATCGTTCTCCTGGATCTCCACCGCTTTTTCCCACTTTAAGGAGTGGGCAGGTGTAATGGGGTTTGGCCTGCTTTTATGTGGTGGGGTGGTGCTCCTGCTCTGGTTGGTGTGTAAGCTACGTGCTCAACAGACACATGACAAAGTGGTTATCGCTCAAGCCCTAGCTGCTATAGAGATAGGCTCCTCTCCCACTGTGTGGCTAAGCATGTTAAAAAATGGACATTAATTGTCCAATAGGACAGCCCTTGCACCCTGAGTCTTCTATGACATTGCACCAGGTTAGGGTATCCATTTTTTACCAGAAACAGCCCTAATGCTCTGCGGGGTTTTTTCTCATTGCACGCAGACAGGTGCTTCTTTAGTTTAGCCTACTGTAATAAATTCTTCACGCTCAGGTTGTTTGGCTTAGCACTGCACTCCGTGTTGACTCTAGCCATGAGCAGCTCCGAGAAGGGCAAGTCTGGTTGCATGTGGGTTGGTGTCCAAGGCCCTACCTCCAGGGAAAAGATGCCGGACGGGTATGGCGCTGACTTGGCTGACTACCAGGATTCAGTGTCATTACAATGTCCATCTCATTACTGGAGATCAGACCACTAGCCTTGCCTGTTGCGTTTATAAAACAAAAAAGGGGGAGATGTAGAGAGCCACCGGTGCCATTCCCGAAGATGGCGCCAGGTTCCTGTCCAGAAGCCAGCAAGGCGCAGATGCGCGATCCACGTCATGGTGTGACCGTTACGACCGTTTTTCCTCCTCGGGGTCTTCCCTCAACTTGCTGTAATGAGCCGTGCAATAAACATAGCTGCAGAAGAATCCTGTTGTTGAGTGTCGTTCTTGCAGGCAAGGCGATAGCGCTTGACAGGTAGAGATGTCTGCCTGGCTAATTTGCAGGGATGGCTTACACAGGAGATCATATGCTTATTACATAAGCTTGGGTTTAGGGAGAGACAAAGAGAATAAGTCAGTGGTCAGAGCCCTGGCCAAATAAATGTCCCAGAACCCTTGGGGTAGAATTGTCCAAGTGAGTTGGGTAGATGTGTGTCCAGGTCAGTCCAAGTAAAAGCAATGATACTTTGTGACCCGAGGATGGCGTGACGGGCCCTCACATGAACCTTTTCTTACACCCATTACCAAACCATTTCATGAGCTCCAGTGCTTACAACGTCCTCCTTTTATTTCTTTTTCTCATTCATCTTGAATTTGCGGTCTTCCTGCCTCAGTCTCCAGAAGCTGGGATTTGTGCCGTAAGTCTGACACAAATACAAAGATGTTAGAAGACAGTAGAATTATCTTTTCGGTCTTGGAGGCCTTGGCTTCATCTCCAGTTTGCAAAACAGCGATATCAATCAACCAATAGAAGAATCCACTCAATGTCGGTGGGGCGAAGAAAAGCGGAGGAAGGGAGAAAGTGATAACTCCGAGGAGCCTGGGCGACCTTTCCACCGGCAGATCATGCTGCTGCCTTTAGAGAATGCTTTTACTGAGTGCCCTGATGTAAGCCTACCAGCGCTGGGGTGAGTATATAAGTACCTAATGTAGTGCTTTATCTCACTTACTGAGCTTGTGATGATGAGAGTTCTTAGCCCCTGTAGTTCAACCACACAAACCCCAGCCGGGATAGCTGGGATTGCTCAGTAGGGTGGGGGTTGGGAGAGGGGTCCAGCTGGTCCAAGACTTCATCCAAAGGCCTCCACCCACTCACGACCCCGATTACGCTTGCGCAATCCACTGAGGTCAAACCAGCCCCTCCCACGTTGGACTACATTTCCCAGAGACCTCCGCGCGTCATCCTTCCGGCTGCCTAGCGCCGGGCTGTTGAGAGAGGTGAGTTGATCGCCTGCTTTGAGGAAATGGGCGCGGGGGCGGCGCGGATTTGTCTTTCCGTTGGTTTGAGAGACGTGGAGTCGGTGACCCTGAGTGGACATCAGGTGCCGCTCCGCGACCTCCGCCTTCCCGCTGCAGGCCCAAGGCCCAGCATGGCTCCGAGTTACGGGTGCGAACCCCAGAGAGAAGGTCCCCCGAACAAAAAGACAGCGCGGCTGCGATGGCAGGGCGGCTTTGTCCGCGCCCCGGGCGGCCGTCGCCTCCAGGCTCCCCTCGGGAGGCGGCTCCATCCGCGGCTTCGCATTCCCAGTGGGTTACGCGTGTGGAAGCGGTGGGAATGACTGGCGGGGGCGTGTCCCGAGGCCACCGAACCCCGCACCTTCCAGATTCGTCCTTACTCCCGGTCTTGTTCATCCCTGCGAATGTGAGGGGATACAGGGAGCAAACGATTGTTGCTGCGAACATAGAAATCCAACATTACTGTTGTATGTGTGTGTGTGTGTGGGGGGGAACATAGCCAAGTTACTTTCTTCTTCCTCCTGTTCCTATGAATCGTAATCCTTATTTTTCCGAGCATGAGGACGTTTGCTGTTCTTCTCTGTAACAGAGGAAAAGACCCGGGAGAAGAGACAGATTAATGCAGATTAATATAAACCATCACTCAGATTATGCCTCTGTTGTTAAATGCAAGCCCGCCCCTTCTTTGTGAGGTTACAGGCTTCTTTTTTTTAAGTTTATATTTCACTTATTTATGTGAATGTGTGTATCTCAGTGAGTACAGGTGCCAGCAGAGGCCAGAAGAAGGCATCTTGTCCCCAGGAACTGGAGTTCCAGATGGTTGTGAGCCTCCATGTGGGTTCTGGGAATCGAACTTGGATCTTCTGCAAGAGCAGCCAGTGCACTTAACCGCTGTGTCATGTCTCCTGCCTCACAGATTTTCTTTCTTTCTTTCTTTCTTTCTTTCTTTCTTTCTTTATCATTTTTTTAATTTTTCATTTTTTTTTTATGTGTTTGGTGTTTTGCCTGCTTTTATGTCTGTGCACGGAAGTGTGTGTCTGGTGTCTGAGGAGGATGTCAGATCCTCTGGAACTGGAGTTACCAGACATTTGTGAGCAGCCGTGTGGGTGCTGGGAACTGTCCAAGCAGCCAGTACCAATATCTGTGGATCCATCTCTGCATTCCAGGCTAAGCTTTCTTTACCCTTGAGGCTTGCCTTCCTCTTCCTAGTTTGGTTTTAATTACTGGGAAAGTCATTTGCTAAACCTCCTTACCTAAGAATAGCAATTTTGGCTTGTCTTTTTTTTTAAAATTCAATTTGCACCCATACTAACCAAGATTTCACTATGTAACCCAAGCTGGCCTTCATTTTGTGGGTGACCCTCCTGCCTTGGCCTCCCGGCTGCAATGTGTGCCACTATGCCGAGCCAGGATAGCATTCAATCTTAAATTGATCTGTGTTTCTTCTAATCCCATCTCAGCAACAGCAGCTGTTCCAAACTCCTAAATTACCATATTGTACTAGGTTCAAAGAGCCCCAGAACAACCCAAGGAGCCATACAATTCCAATGCAAATGCAAAGGTTCCATCATATGTAAGATGAGGCCTATTGTATAGCATTGTGCTGAGTAAATGAATTAACTGAGGGCTGGGGATGTGGTATAGTGTTGGCCTACCGTATCCAAAGCCTGAGATGCCATCCTTGGTGTGACAGTGACAGCCTCCCCCTCGGAAACAAAAAAGGAAAGAATTGTAAAACCCATAGGTAGTACTTGGCAGTGTAGCGAAGGGTTCACTATGTCTGCTAGCTGTTATAATACATGACAGCCTCCCTCATCACCTACATCCAAGAAGCATGAATAGTTTGCCACATTTATCTGTCCATGTGCTCCTGGTTGTAGATTGTTGATAATCAAAAATTGCCTGCCAGCTGGGCATGGTGGTTTAATTTTTTCTTTAAAGTTAATTTTTTTGTGTGGGAGTGTTTTGCTTGTACCGCATGCATGGCTGGTGCCTAAGGAAGTGGGAAGAACGTGTCAGACCACCTGGGGCTGGAGTTACAGATGTGAACCTGGGTTCTCTGCAAGAGCAAGTGCTCTTTTTATGTGTGTGTGTTTATGATGAAGTGTTAGGCCTAAGTCAGAACCCTTTAAAAGTGTCTGAACTCCCACACCGTGCCCATCTTGTGCTGGGGTTCCTCAGAGCTGTCTTTAGAAATCTCTGCTTTGGGGTGGGTTTGGGATGGGTGTAACTGTAGTGAAAAGGAGTGATTTGGAATCAACAGTCATGGGAGGAACTAACATAAATCAATCTGGGGACTTTTAGGCACATCTGGATTCATGGATTCTTTTTATTCCAGCTTCGCTTCCCTGAACCCCACAGTTTTCCACAGAGAAATACCGAAGAGCCCACTGGCCCCTGCAGTTCGAATACCATGGCCCTGGCCCAGGTATGTTAATGTTTTCCTCCGTCCCCCTAGATGTACGACTCTGATGTCTGCCTCCCAAGTGCTGGGACTGCAGTGCATACAGCACACTCGGCATCTGTTTTCTCTAAACACTCAGTTTCTAGATGGTCGTGTACATGGTCACTCCTTTTCCAGAACCTTCGGATCTGGTGTGCTCTATGTGACACCTACCCCAGCTCTCATTGCAGAGAGGGTTGGAGACACAGCCCAGAGCTCTACACACTTCCTCCAAGGCTGAGTCTCCCTGACCTGCACAGGGTTCCTTCCAGAGCCACAGAGAGCCCAGGTAAAATGCCTGAGAAAAACCCAGACAACATTTCTCTAGCGTTTTCCCGTGGAGCAACCTTGGGTAATAATTCAAATATTTTTCAATGTGTTATCTTTGTGTGTGTGTGGGGGGTGCGCCACAGTGCACATGTGGAGGTCAGAGGACATTGATTTTTTTCCTTTTGAATTTCATGTAGGTTCCAGGGATCAAAATCAACTTTACCTTCTGGAGCCATCTTGTTAATTCTGAGTTTTAGTACTTACAGGGGAAATTTTTTCTCTTAGTATAGTGATTTTTGTTTTGTTTTGGTTTGTTTTTTGAGACAGGGTTTCTTTGTGTAGCCCTGGCTGTCCTGACTCCCTTTTTAGGGCAGGCTGGCCAGTGATCCACCTGCCTCTGCCCCTTGAAGGCTGGAATTAAAGGCATGTGTCACTATCATCCAGCTTGATTTATTTTTAAATTTTGTTTTATATAGAAAATATGTGTATCCCCAATATACAGTATGGCATTTTATTTATCTTTATTTTAACTAAAGATATTTTATTGGAACATGGATCACTGGGGTCTTCAGTTTCTCTTTTCTTTTTATTTAAATTAGAAACAATCTTATTTTACATATCAATCCCAGTTCCCTCTCCCTCCCATCCTCCTATGCCCCCCCCCCCCACTGATTCCCCCAAACCCCTTATGTTCCCCAGGGAAGGTTAGGCCTTCCATGGAGGATCATCAAAGTCTGTTTAATTACCATTTTTAAAACTGTGTAGATCTGTGTAGTGTAGAGGCCAGAGGCTGACACTGGATGTCTTCCTCAATTTGATTTCTATCTTATTTTTGAGACAGAGTATCCCTGCACATGGGGTTCACCATTCAGCCAGACCAGCTGGCCAGCAAGCCCTAGAAATCTTTCTGTCTACAATGATGAGCTTATAGGCATGCAGTTACAGGCACATACCTGTCTTTTTACATGACTGCTGGGAATCCAAACCCAGGTCATCATGCTTTTGTGGCAGGTCCTTTACTGACTGAGCCATCTCTCTAGTCCCCAAAATGGTACTTAACAAACTGTCTAGTGATGTTCGTTTGCAAATCATAAATGTATAGTGTCGGAAGCTGTCTTTGTGGGGTTGCAATTGGAACCAGCTGAGCAGATCCAAGTTCCTACCTGAGTGGGGGAGTGGATGAGGGAAAGGCTAGCTATAGACGATAAAGAAAAGACAGAGAGACAGAATAAAATCAGGAGGGCAGATCAGTCAATACTGAAATGCCACGAGTTTATTTTCCACCTCTTATTTTTCACCTTAACCAAAAAGGAAAACATGGGATCATGTACATGGAACAAACCGACTTTTCTTCCTCACTTATTCTAAGGGTTCAGTAACCACAACTCAGATACAACTTCTCCTTCCCTAGCCTGGAGAGTCAGGAGTAGCTACGCTTCAGACCAGTTCTGTTGTTATTTAGACTAAGACAGACAGACATCCTACTGCAGCCACAGCTTTGACCTTTAGGTCTCATGACTTGCTGAGGACAGCTTTGAACCCTCTGTCCTTGTGCCAAGATGGAGCGCACAGCCATCTTTATGGGCGCTTGCAGTATAGCTGAATACGTTTTCATAATTGAGAAAGGAATGTGCTAGCACTTTCGCTGGCCCCTTCAGTCAGCTCCCATCCAGGTGGCCCAGATGAAGACACTGCTCTTGCTTCAAATACTACAGATTAATGTTACCTGTGTTTGACCTGACCTTTCTCTTCCTCCCTCCCCCCTTTTTTTCTGTCTTTTTTCTCCCCTCTCCCTCCCTCTCTTTTCTTCTCTGTTCTCTTTGACAGGGTCTTACTGTGTTGCCCAAGCTGGCCTTGAACTTGAAATTTTCCTGTATCCACTTTGGACAAATACACCAACTCTGCCCAGCTCTGATTTTTAATTTTGAGCTTTAAGTGGAGTTAGGTAGTTCAATACATTTTATTTTATTATCTAGGGAGAGTCTGGTTATCTTATAATAGGATTGCTAGCCTGTCAGAACCATCTGTGGCTATTTTAAAGTACATGCATCATTGATATGAATGTATGGAAAGGAAGCAGACATCGACCCCTGACTTCCACGACCTTACGCTCTCTAAGGCTTTCCAATTGGATGGGTTAGGTAAGGATGTAACTGAGGGTGTATGTCATAAGAGATAGCTTTCCATGTAAGGCTGGGTATGGAGGGGCACACCTTTAATCCTAACACTCAGGAGACGGAGGCAGGAGAGTCTCTGTGAGTCGGAGGCTAGCTTGGTTTAAATAGTGAGTTCCATGCCATGCAGCGCTACATAGTGAGACCCTGTCTCAAAAATCAAAATTAAATGAATAATGTAATCTCTCGTCATCTTTGTTAGGTGGAGAGAGAGAACTGATTCTCATAAGTTGTCCTCTGATCCATGCACATAAAATAAATACATACATAGACATACAGGGGAGGAAGCCACTGGTCCAAGGTGCTATCTTCATGGTATTTTCATGACTTAAGTGTCCTGTACCTAGGGACAGAAAAGACATTCAGTTAGATCTGCTAGGCAGGACAAGGAGGGTGACTGGTCTGTAAGTTTAGATACTCTAAGCAAGAGCTAGGTGAGCTTTTGGGATTGGGCCAAGGTCAATAATTTTGTTTTTTTTTTTTTTTTTTTTTTTTGGTCAGGGTTTTATTATGTAGCCATGACTGGCTGGCTTAGGACCAGATTGGCCTTGAAATCATGGGAATTTTCCAAGTGCTGGGATTAAAGGCACCTCCATCACTGCCTCAAATATCTAATTGTTAAGAAGAGATACTAGATATATCTAATGTGGTCAAGACAAGGACAAGTGTTTACCGAAAACTTAAAACTTAAATAGTTGATGGGAACAAATTTAAAATAGACTCTGACTTTGTAATGAAGGTGAATCAGTCTGTCTCAGATATTTTGTGGTGTATTCAGAATGATTTTTTTTTTTTTTTTGTGAAGAAAATTTTGACACTGTGTTTTTGTGATCATTGAGGCTTAATGTCATTATTTCTGTAGAATTTATAACGGGATCACATAGTACACTATACAGTTGGGTTCATTTGTGGGTTTTGTTGTATTCATTTCCAGAATGTGCCCCCCCCCTTTCTCTCTCAATGCAAATGGAATAAACATTTACTTATTTTAGCTGTGTGGTAGGGGCACATGTCTTTAATCCTAGCACTCGGGAGGTAAAGGCAGGTGACCTCTGTGAGTCGGCCTGGTCTACAGAGTGAGTTTCAGGACAGCCAGGACTACACAGAGAAACCCTGTCTCGGAAAACAACAACCAGAAAATTGTTTTAAACGTTAATTGTATGTGCACCTGCAGCGGGATATAGGAGCGTGTCGCCCTGTGCTTCTGAGACCCCGATTTTCAGGGTCTCTGTCCCTCTTGTACTGTTCAGCCCCCTGCTGTTTGAGTGCAGTGTGCCCCCCCACTCTGCAGTACAGTCCTCCTCCTCTCTCCACTCTCCTAAAAGAGGAATTCTCTCATGCACTACCCCGAGTTTGTGTTTCTCAGGGTTCAGTGACATTCAGGGATGTGGCCGTAGATTTCTCGCAGGAAGAATGGGACTTTCTGGACTCCGCTCAGAAGAGCCTGTACAGGGACGTGATGTGGGAGAACTATAACCACTTCATCTCGATGGGTGAGTGCGTCTGCCCCAGAGGACCAGCCCCCCTGGTGCCTTTGGTAGGTTAGGCCCTCCCATGTAACGTCTAATCATTCTTGCCTGGGCTGGCCCTTTCATTTTCTCAGACTGTGACCTCTGGCTTTCTTCGTGTCTGGGTTCCCCTGGTATCTAAATTGGATATGGTAGAAGTATTTTCTAAGACAGCAGATTGCATACTGCATTTGAGCCCAGAACTGATGTAGACGACACTCCCCTCTCCCCTCTAGTTTCAAGAGCAAAGCATGTGGGATGTGGGACATAGACTTAAAGTTCTACCTGCTCTACATTTGCAAGTTAAATCTGGGCTGGGGCGGTAGCTCAGTGATAGAGCTAGGGTGTGTGGAGCCCTGGGTTTAATCCCAGTATATACACACATACACACAATTTACCGAGGTGGCCTCAGAAACAGGGAGGATGTGAAGCAGCCTGCCCAAAGCTGTAGTTGTGCAATGCAGCCTCTCTGTAGAACCTGGATAAATTGCATGAAGTCCTTAATCATCTGGCATTTATTCCTTGCAGTCTCTAGGGCTCCCTGAAATGGTTATTCTGGAGCTCTGTCCTATGGATTTAATGCTTTGGTTTATGAAGTACCATTTTGGAGACAGGCATGGTGGTGTTCCTGTACTCGAGGGGAAGACAGGAAGATAGCCACTTTAGCGCTGGGCTGGGCTGTGTAGTGAGCTCCAGGCCTGTCTCAGAGCATCACCATCTGACTTACAACTAATTAAACATTTAATGAAATCTGGCAGTAGAGGTTTTCAGGTTTATAATTCAGTGTGGCATTTTCCTATTAAGCAGGACCTTCCATTTCTAAGAGAGATATGATTACCTTCCTGGATGAAGACAGGAAGGAGCCTGAGATAGTTGTGAAAGATGGGAGAAGAAGATATTGTCCTGGTAAGTGAGGGTGAGCTGGTCCCGGGGACCGTTGCTCCAGCTAGTTGCTCGGCTCAGTAATGGGGGATCCTTGCTGAGAGACGGATTGTTGGGGATCTCTCTTTCAAAGCCTTGGCCTCAAGGGAAACTTGAGACCTGAATAAAAGCCCTGGTTGTCCTGTGACTCAGTCAGTAGACCAGGCTGGCCTCAAACTCAGAGATCCGCCTGCCTCTGCATCCTGGGTGCTGAGACTAAAGGTGTGCACCACCACCCTGCTGCCAAATTGCTTTCTGTTGAACTTGATTACTTTGGTTCTCAATCTCCATAATTCCTTCCTACTTCAAAGGAAACTGTTCTCAGCAGAAAGGAAAAAACTAGAGTAAATACAGGAACAACTCAGAAAAATAAAACAGGAAGGGTGATTTGTAAAGGCAAAATGGAAATAAATGTCATTTAGAATGTGAGTGAAGTTAGTGAACACTTAGTTGGACTACTTGAGAAAAAGAACATAAGTTACTACCCTGAATGAAAGAAGGGTTTTCCCTCTCTTCTGAGGCTGTGAAAAGACATCATGAGTAACTTTGCACCAGGAAATTTGACAGCGTGTGTGAGGTAGAAATTGAAAAATGCAATATTACAAAAAAAAAAAAAAATCTCAAGTCTATTAAAGTATGGAATTATTATGAAAAATCTTTTGTGAAGAAAATGCTCAGGTATTTTGACTGGTGGGAAATTCTATTAAAAATTTATGGGAGAAATAGCATTATTGTATGAATTTCTCCAGAAAATAAAGGTATACCTCAGCCTAATTTATAAGGCCTACATAACTGTCATGTTGTACTTGACATTTACTGAAAAAAAATTGTAAACCAACCCTTATTACTTATGTATACATGTATAAATTTCTTAACACTATACTAGGAAGTCAAACTCACAAAATATTTAAAAATGATAATCAAGTGGACTTCATTCCTGCTTAATTATTGAAGCTCAGTTTCTAATATTGAGACACTGTTAGTTTCATGTCCCCATATTAAACAAAAAGGAGAGGCTATATGGTTAGTATGTAATGTAAAATACCACATGACAAAACTCAACATCCATCCCTGGTCTAAACAAACAGACAGACCTATTAGTGAGCAGGGCCTGGTGGTACACGCCTGAAATCTTAACACTCGGGAGGATGGAGACATGGCCCCTCACTAAGACAGGCTGCTTCCGTCCCCCTTAATGGTGGCCTGCCTGTGTTCAGGCTTCTGTGTACATGAGTGTGTGTTGGGGAGAGAATGTTCCTGTGTGAGGATGTGCATGTGCCTGGGTATGCGCTCACACGAGTGTGAGTGTGTGTGCATGTGAGGGCAGAGGCCTATGTGGCGTGCCTTCCTAATTGCTTTCTTCGCTTCAGTCTTTGAGACACGGCCTCGTACCTGGAGCTCGCTTTGCCAGACTGTCAGGCTAGCAAATCCCCAGGGTCCCTCTGTCTCTGCCTGCCTGTGCACACTGCCACCCCTGGCTTTTTACTTGGGTGCTGGGGATGTAAGCTCAGGTCTGCATGTTCCAGAACAAGCGCCTTACTGACTGAGTTGTCACCTCATCTCCCTTCCTCCCTTCCTGAGACAAGGATGACCTTGAACTCTTGCTTCCAACATCTGAGAGTAGGACTGAGTGGTTAAGAACTGCCACATCCAGTTTGGTCTTTACCTTTTTCTTTTCTTTTCTTTTTGAAGTGGGATCCTTTGTTGCTCAGGCTGGCTTCTAACTCCCAGGGTCAAGTAATTCTTCCCCCTTAGCCTCTCTGGAAGTTGGGAATATAAGCACACATTAAACTTTCCAGTTGAGGTTTTTTTTGGTTTTTTTGTTTGGTTTCTTTTGGGGGGGGTGGGTTGGGTTTTGTTGTTGTTTCATTTTTTAGTTTTAGAGATGATCTTACTTTGTAGCTTAAGCTGTCCTGAGACTTTGTGTAACCCAGGCTGGACTTGAACATGCAGCGTCTTCCTGCATTAGCTTCCTGAATGCTGGAATTTTGGATGGATGTGAGCCTACTTGGCCTTATTTTCACATGTGCTGTCCCGAAACAGGACTCATACGTAATCTTTATGCATTTTAATATTCATAAAGTGGCTTTTGCCACACTGAGTACCTTTACCCCTTGACATAACAACTATAGTGTTGTTAGTGTTGTTAGTGATATGATTGTACACAATTGTGTGTTAATGCCTACTGTTTTTCCTTGAATTTTTGTATAGGATGGGGGTTTGGGGGGTGCACATGGATAGTATTTTTTCAGAAATACCTGTTTATAGGAAGACATGACTTTAGGTCCTTTTATTTGTCTATAGTTTTCTTCCTTCTGGAATGGGAATGGAGCATGTTTCTTGTTTTGTTTTGTTTTGTTTTGTTTTGTTTTTTTGTTTTTTCAGATTTGGAGCCCAGATTCAAGACCAATACTTCATTGTCAGACAAGGATCTCTATGAAGTGTATTCATTACAGTGGGAGTTGATGGAGAAAATTAAAAGTCACAGCCCTCAGGTTTCTGGTCTTAGAGATGATTGGGACTACAAAAGCAAGGTTGAGCGACAAAAGGAACCACAGAAAGGTTATTTTGGGCACTTGAAAATTACCTCTGAAAAAGGCCCATACAAAAAGCACAGTTTCCTTACTGAGTATCAGAAAGTTCAGAATGGAGAAAAGTTCTATGAATGTAAAGAGTGTAGGAAGACCTTTATCCGCCGCTCAACACTTAGTCAACACTTGAGAATCCATACTGGTGAGAAACCTTACAAATGCAAAGAATGTGGGCAACCCTTCAGACAGCGGGCACACCTTATCCGACACTACAAACTTCACACTGGGGAGAAGCCCTATGCGTGTAAGGAATGTGGGAAAGCCTTCACAGTGCTCCAGGAACTCACCCAGCATCAGCGACTCCACACTGGTGAAAAGCCGTATGAATGCAAGGAGTGTGGGAAGGCCTTTCGGGTACATCAGCAGCTGGCTCGGCACCAGAGGATCCACACTGGGGAGAAACCCTACGAGTGCAAGGACTGTGGGAAGACCTTCAGACAGTGTACACACCTTACCCGACACCAGCGACTTCACACTTCTGAGAAGCTGTATGAATGTAAGGAGTGTGGGAAAGCCTTCGTGTGTGGCCCAGACCTTCGAGTACACCAGAAAATCCACTTCGGTGAGAAGCCCTATGCATGTAAAGACTGTGGCAAGTCTTTCAGGATATGCCAACAGCTGACCGTCCATCAGAGTATCCACACTGGGGAGAAACCCTATGAATGTGAGGAATGTGGGAAGGCCTTCCGGTTGAGGCAACAGCTTGTTCGCCATCAGAGAATCCACACCCGTGAGAAACCCTATGAATGTGTAGACTGTTGGAAGACCTTCAGTAGTTACTCCCAGCTGATTTCCCATCAGAGCATTCATGTTGGTGAAAGACCCTTTGAGTGCGAAGAATGTGGGAAGGCCTTCAGACTTTACTCTCAACTCACTCAACATCAGAGCATCCACACAGGTGAGAAGCCTTACGAATGCAAGGAGTGTAGGAAACCTTTCCGACTGCTCTCACAGCTCACTCAGCACCAGAGCATCCACACCGGGGAGAAGCCTTATGAATGCAAGGACTGTGGGAAGGCCTTTAGACTTTATTCATTTCTTTCTCAACACCAGAGGATCCACACTGGCGAGAAGCCCTACAAATGTAAGGAGTGTAAGAAGGCCTTCAGACAACACTCACACCTCACCCAGCATCAGAAGATCCACAGTGGAACCTAAGCAAAACCTCAGTTCTGTGTTACATTTGCAAAATGTCAGGAAATCCAGTTTTGAGAGTCATTTATTTCATGCTTATAGTAAGCATAAGAAAGACTGTGTTGCTTTAAAACCCCTCCATTCTCACTTAGGTGTTACCTATCCTCAGCAGATTCCTATGAAAGAATAATTTGATGAATGTAGGAAAGCCTTTAGTCTTATCTGTTGCCATCTCCATTTAACTACTCTCTTCTCCCCTGTGAGACAGGACACTAAATATCAATGCCTTGTTTTGCTCACTGACAAAATGATGATAATAGTACTTACACATTATATTTATTGTTATGTAACAAATTACTAGAAAAACAGTAGTTTAAATACTATACATTTATTATCTAAAGATTCCTATAGATCAAAAGTCCAGGCAAGCCTTAGTTGGGTCTTCGAGGTTTCAGCTAAGGCTGGGCTTTCACCTGAAGTCTTAACTAGAGGAGGATCCACATTGAATGTAACTGGTTAGATACCTCAAACACCTGAATTCTTTTGAGAGCTGATACATTGAAGTCTTCAGTTTCTAGATGGCCATTGGCTAAGAGATGAGTGAAGTTCCTGACCACATTGACCATCCCAGTGTGGCTGCTGGGTTTGGCTTTATTTATTTGTTTATTTATTTATTTTGAGACAGGGTTTCTCTGCATAGCTCTGGCTGTCCTGGAATCAGCTCTGTAGACCAGGCTGGCCTCAAACTCACAGAAACCCTCCTGCCTCTACCCTTGAATGCTGGGCTTAAAGGTATGCACCACCACCACTACCCAGCGCAGCTGTTGTTTAAATGAGATTGTGGAATCTAAGAAAGATGGGTGCTAGCAGGATGGAAGTCAGCTAGCAAAACTGAAGTTATAATCTGTGTAATCAAATCATAAAAGAAATATCACTTTTACAAGCAGTTTTCCCGCCAGCCTGGTCCCACAACCGTGTCATCCCCAAATAACACAGAGAGACACTATATTAGATATGAAGCTGTTGGCCTGTTACTAGCATTTCTTATTGGCTAGCTCTGTCTTACATATTAACCCAGTTCTACCAATCTAAGTGTTTCACGTGGTCTTATTTTCCTGCAGAGAGGGTCCGGAGTTCTGCTCTCTCAAGTTTCTACATCTTGTCTACTATATCTCCCAAAATCCTCCTTGTCTCCTAGTCCCGCCTATTTGCTTTCCTATTGGCCAACAGTACTTTATTCGTTAACCAATAAGAGAAACATATTTACAGAATGCCATCTCCCATCATATCACATCATTTTATCACTTTCTGCTGGTTAAAAAACAAGTTCTCAGACTCAAGAAGATTGCATGAAATTGAATACTACAAGACAGGGACCAGTGATACGAGTTTAGAGCCCACCTGCTGTACTGCATAATAGAATGAATTTAAGAACGAAGTAGTTAACACTTGACAGAGTAGCAGTCATAGTAACATGTATCCTATTTTAAATGTCTATGATTATTATTAGTATTGTCAGTTCATATAAAAGGAAGATGATCCTATGGAAGTAATAAATATAAAAATGCTTCCTTCACATCTCTCATTTATAAACCTCAAAGTAATTTCTTCTGGCTAAGATCTAGCAGCTTATAGTAATTGGGAGATTTTTGTCAGTTGAGCTGCATCAACAACTTCATGATGAAAAGAGGCTGAATTTCATGAATTCAGGGCTTGTAAAACTTAGCTGTTAAAGATTCAGAGGAAATGGCTTCTTCAAACCGAAAAAAGCAGATCATTTAGAATCCCTTCTCTGACTGAATTCAAGATGAGTCACACAATCTCAAGGATAGCATAGAACAACCAGCCAGTTAGAGATTTCCTTTTTACTAATACACATATGCAGACACTAGGGTTGGAGAACTGGCTTAGTGGTTAAAATGCTTGCTGTGTAAGCAGGAGGACCCAAGTGAGGATCGCCAGGAGCCATGTTAAACGCCATTAGATGTGGTGGCTCACCTGTAATTCCAGCCTCTGGAAAAGAGACTAGATGTCCAAAGCAAGCTGACTAGCAAGACCATAGTAGTTACATCGATGAGCTCTGGGTTGGATTAAGAGACTGCCCCAGTTTGACCAAAGTTTATAAAGTTCTGTAGAAAACTCACTTGATTTCCACATTGTGTGTGGCATGAGGAAGAGAAGGCAAGCGCCATATAACAAGGCCCAGTTAAGTACATGGGCATCACTTTGAAATAGTTGAAGAGAAAATGTAAGAGCATCTTGGAGACAGGAGCAAGTGTCAAGGGGTTTACGGATGTGTTAGAGATGCAGTCTGAAATAAGATATACCAATGTGCATCTCTGGAGAGCCAGGTATGGTGGTGTGCACATGTAATTCTGAGACAGGTATTCTAGGCTCAGGGGGCTAAGGAAGGGTTGCTAGTTCAAGGCCAGTCTGAGCCATATCACAGGGCTACATCTAAAATGAAAGAGAAAACAAATCCAGCAAAAGAAAGGGAATTGACAAAACCAGGCTTAGAACTACACAGAACCCCAGCATTCTGGAGGCAGAGGCAGGCAGATCAATGGGTTTGAGGCCAGCTTGGTCTACAGAGTGAGTTCCAGGACAGCCAAGTCAAGATAAATCCCTTCTCAAAATAATGGAGTTGACAGAATGGGTCTAGAGTGGCAAAGCATTGGTAAGTGATTGGGTGAAGTTATTAGATCCTTGAGGGCCATTGTTCCATTCCCACTGTTGTACATGTCTAAAATTCCAATATTTTAACAACCAAAACAAACTGGAAACTAGTAAGTGATGAGATGCCTGTACATTTAAACTGGTTAAATGCCACCAAACTGACAAGGAGGCAAGTGACACCCTCGATATACCAAGGAAGTTCTTTGTGAGGTTGTCACGTAAAACAGGTGTTGACTACCAAGAAGTGTGAAGTAAATGAATCCAGTAGTAAAGCAAGCAAAAGCTTTAGGAAATAGCTCTTAGCAAGATTTTCAAATTAACTTCATGTTAAAATAAGCTTGAGTAGAACAAACGAAAGTGAGTTGGGTATGCTGTCACAGCTGTGATATCAGCACTCAGAAGGCCGATACAGGAGATGTAGGGATTTAAGACTAGCTACATAGCAAGATCCTGGTTCAAGAAATAGTAATAGTAGTAATGATGGGACAATAAAACCAGTCAGGGTGATGGCTCAGTCAGTAAAGTACATGCTGCCAACACACGATGACTTGGGATCCCTGGCCACCATGGAAGAACCACCTGTGACTTTTTCATGCGTCTGTAACCCAGCACGGGGAGACAGCAGTGGTATGGGTGGCACCTGGCAGAACCTTAAACTTGCCTGTAAGACTGGCAGTCACTGAAGCTCCAGATCCAGTGAAGAGTCCAGGTTCAGTCTCAAAACCATAAGGCGAGCTGGGCATGGTGGCACACCTTTAATGCCAGCACTCCATAGCAGAGGCAGGCAGATCTTTGTGAATCTGAGGCCAGCCTGGTCTATATAAGGAGCTCCAGGCCAGCTGGGGCTCCATAGTAAGACCCTGTCACAAATAAGTAAATAATGAGATAGAAAGCGGCTGAGGAAGACCCTTGATACCAATCTCTCTCATCTCTCTCTCTCACACATACACATACACACACGCGCGTGCGCGCGCAAAGAAAATTAGACAAAGCTCCAAAAAATAGCATCTAGACAAACTTCAGGTCTTAAAGCTATGTTCTTCCTAAGTCTAAGTGAAGTTTGTTAGAATTTATTACAAAACTTACCTCCTAGTGTATAAAGCAAGGACATGACTGAAGATGGGGCTTTAAATGAGCTGACAAGACCCAAGATAATGACAAATAGATATTTGTTTGGGAAGGACTTACACAGATAAGAGTAAATAACCGCCTCACCTTCCTGCCCCAGAAGATGCAGTCTCTGCCCTATGCAACCCAAGAGAGCAAGAGCCAACCCTTATCAGTGGGTCAAGTCTGCACCTGAAACCACGCCCAGAGGGTGTGGCAACCGCTACAAGTTCACTGGCAAGGCGAGATGCCACTACACATGACCACTCCATGGTACAGTTGAGGAGAAGGTTTTTACTGTAGATGCGAGGGAGAATACAGCCACAGGCATCTGGAAGAGTTCAGATCAGGGAGAGAAATGAATAGACTAGACATAGTCAAAGACTGGACCAGGCCATGAGAGAGGAGGGGGAAAGCGAGAGACAGCCAAGAGGGCCACGGTCAAAATGACAGGGTTACATAGGAGTGAGAAGCTAGGGGGAGGGAAGCCCAGGACCTGGAGTTTAGGGTAGGGGTGGGGTGAGAAGAGCTGAGGGGCCAGGATGCCAGCATGCACCCTGTGACAGGTGCTTGTGATGCTGAGAACCGGAGGCCAGCATGTGCTTTGGTGTGCTAATAGGTTCCACAGATAGCCATTTGTCCCCAGTTTATTTTGAACCTGACCTTTCAGCCTGTTTGTTAATAAGGGCCAACACAAGCTCGTCTGTAACTACTTCTTGGCTGAGATTAGGGTGTTGTTGTTAGAACCCAGGAAGGTAGGAATGCTGGCCAAAGGCTGGGGGACATCTGCTTTGCTGGCTGTCCAGGTTCAGTGGGACCACCTGGAGCTAGTGAGGTGCAGGCCATGTTGGAGCAGTCGGGGGCAGGTTCTGAAGGATCACCACCCGGTGCTGTCATGTTGCATACAGTTTGAGGACATCTTTGCAGATTGAGTTGATTGGAAATCTGGGGACAGAAGGTAAAGGTAAGGAGCTTAGGGGAAATCTGTCTTGGGTGTACACTTGAAACTTCCAGGCCTGTGGCTCTAGTAGCTGTAGGGTGGAGAGGATCCCAAGACCGGGGAAAGGGGGTCCACCCTTAGGGGTAGGCTAAGTTGAAGCAAAATTCGGGCTGTAGATTGACAGTATTTAGCTGAAGTCCGTGAGAAGTGGTGGATCCATCACAATTCCCTGAAGCTTACATGGATTCTTTAAAGTTTACAAAGGAGACAAAGGTTTTAGATATATTAGCATTAATTACCATTATTCATAATCTACACTGATATATTCATTGTGTCTGTAAACAGCTGGAGAAGTCTCATGCCCTGCAATGCCCAGTGCTGGGGTGATAAGCAGATGCCATCACATCCAGCCGTTTCCTTCCCTTTTTAAAGGTGTGTGTGTGTGTGTGTGTGTGTGTATGCACATGTGGAATTCAGAGGACAATTTTGAGAGGTTCATTTTTTCCTTCAATTATGGGGGATGGAACTCAGGTTGTCAGGGCTGGTGGCGAATGCCACTCCTGCCCTTTTTCTTAATGGGTAGCTCTGGGTCATGGGGACTGACACTTAGGTCATTAGTGAAAGCATGGGGCTTTGCCCAGTGAGCCATCTCACCAACCCACCTAAGAAACT